GGGGCAGACTGGGTGCCCTGTGGAGGTCAAGACCTTCCCACCAGGTCGTGGAGCGGGGGGCTCCCGGCCGCTTGCCCCGTGTTCAGACCCCTCTGCCCCTTCGTGTCACCGTGGCTTTGTTAGAAACAACCTCTCATTGGCATGTCGACACGCTTTCAACCACCGCCACCCAAGGGCACAGTCCCTGTTTGTTGGCGAGCGGAGATGTGCGGTGGGTCGGGCTCCGTGGTCCCGCGGCTATTCAGTCCATCGCTGGAACTTTCCTGCGGGAGGAGAGGGCTGAGGTCACCGGGCTGGCTTCTCGGGTCAGAGGGAAAGTTGGGTTTGCTTTGTCATATAGTAAGGAGCCCTGGAGGCTTGGTGGTGATGCGCTTGGGGTGCCTAACCCAAAGGTTCCTGCTCTGCGGGATAAAGATTTGCAGCCTTGGGGACCCTAAGGGGCAGTCCATCCTGCAGGGTCCTGAAGAGTCGGAATCAACTCAGGGGCGGTGGGGTTTTGTCATTACATATTTCTTCCCGCTTCCTCTTACTTACTACTGTTTTAGTTTTCGTTTGGTAGTACGTGTCAGACTCTGATGAAGAAGGGCTAAAGAAAGTCCTAGTTGATCATTTCCCTTTGGAAATATTCTGCCGTAGTTTCCCCCCTCCCTCTTTCCGTTTAAGAGGCCAGGAAGAGAAAAATTAAATTGAACAGAAGTTTGTGAAATGACCCCACTGGTACATTTTTCACTGCTCAGTAATTCATCTTTTTATTGGGAGACCTTTTTAAAAAAGTTGTTTGAACCTTGTTGCTTGCTTTCCTCTCTCCTAGGCTGCCAACAGTGTGTGTGTCTGTGTGCAGGTGTTATCTGTGTATCCTCCTCCAAACCCACAGGAGGCCTTTGGTCCGTCTCTTCTCCAACAATTGTGCCACCAACGATGGAGTTGGCTAGAGACAGCTGTCATTGCCCATGATTTTTCAGTTGTTAGGAGTACATGAGCCCTCGCCCACCCCTTGCTATTGCTGCTCAAATCCAGTTCTTTTTCCTTTATAGGGCAGGCAGAAAATGGCTTCCGAAGCGTACAGTGTGTCTAGTTGCTGAAGCTGGGCTTATATGAAAAAAAGAGAGCAATAGGCAGTTAGCGGTTTATCGGCAGGGTGGAGGGAAGGTGGGGTAGAAAGGGGGAAGCGATCACAAGGATCTACATATAACCCCCTCCCCGGGGGAAAGACAACAGAAAAAGTGGGTGAAGGGAGATATCGGACAGTGTAAGACATGACAAAATAGTAATAATTTATAAATTATCAAGGGTGAGGATGGGGGGGGAGGGGAAAAATGAGCTGATACCAAGGGCTGAAGTAGAAAGAAAATGTTTTGAGAATGATGATGGCAACAAATGTATAAATGTGCTTGACACGATGGATGGATATATGCATTGTGATAAGAGTTGCATGAGCCCCCAGTAAAATGATTAAAAAAGTATAAAGTTCAAAAAATAGTACCCTTCCAGACTAAAATGCATGATACACCTCATGTGTTACAGGATAGAACTGCCCCAGAGGGTTTTCTCAGCTGTCTTTTTTTTTTTTAATTTAAATCATTTTATTGTTGGCTGTCATTTTTAAGGAAGCAGTTGACGGCCCTTTCTTCTTCAGAGCTGCCCGCACCAAAACTAGAACATTACGGAGTTTTGTCTTAGTAGACTTTGTTAGTAGGCTTTAGAAATCATTATCTACGTAACATCATTAATTCCTGCGAGCGATCCTGAAATGAAACCACCCACCTCCTTCTTTACAGCATGATGTGATTGACCACTTCTACCCCTCCCTACTTACCCATAATTGGGGGGTGGAGGGGCTGGCAGGGGTCTCCTTTGCACCAGATGTTGAAATCAAACTAAGTGCAATTTTATCTGCACTCATAGGGCAAACTCCAGTTGTGTACTGTAGTCCTTAAAATGACCCAGCTACATCTCTCCATGGAATACAGAATTGTCCTTAGATAAGGCAAGCTGGCGTCCATGTATAGTATCTCATCATTAAGAATGATCTTCTGAGTAAACAGTGTGTTTAATTAAATCACGGGCCATGAAATGGAGGATTCTTGACTATTAAGAGATGATTGCATGAAACAGCCCTATTGCCCCCAAATTAGTACTAATAATGTACAGTGTCTTCGGTTAGTACGTTTATTTACCAGTTCCAGTAGAGGCAGGGAGAAGGAAATACTGGGTTTTGTATTTGTTTCTTATGCTTCTAAATAGGCATTTGTTTGGAAGTAATTTAGAACCAGGAGGTATTTGGCTGTTTTTGCAGAACTTCTGCTCAACTTTTCCCTTATTGTGAAACATGTAGTTATTTCTATTTCTTTTGATTTTGAACAGGTGAACAGCATTCACCCTGAATGTCGATTTCATTTGGAAATACAAGCGGAAGAAACAAAATGTGCAAAGTTTTTAAGTGCCCACACAGAAAAATACAAAGGTAAGGTTGAGGGCTTGATGATTAAATTTGTGCACACAGAAGGTTTACCATCCATATAGGTATCATATACTTCTTTGTGATAAACTGGATATTTTAAAGTTGTCTGAAGCTACAAAAAAAGTAGTCTATTTTTCACTTTTTAACTGAACTTTAGAAAACACTTACTTATAGTTAAGAGGGGCTTGAGATAATAGCAACAGATAGTATTATAGTCTCACTAAAACTATTGCAAAAGTAGCCGTGATTTTATGTGAAATGGGTATGGGTGTGAGTTCTCCTACTTTAAATTCTGAGTTATATCAAAGATGATTTGGATCCAGTTTAAAATGATGGAAGTGCATCAGAAGGCAAACATGAAAATGGATGGACGTTTGTTTTCCTGAAGACATCTATCGTGAATACAGTGATCACGCGTGCCAATTTCACTTTCCCCACAGAGCACAGAATGTTGGGATGCATGCACTCAAAGTAAGCGTACTCACAACATGTTTTCAATTGCTTCAAGATTCTATGATAAGACCCATTGTATAAAATGTAGCTAATACCTTCTGTTCTGAACTGCCCTTTTTCCCTGCTCTATGTCATGATTTTATCCTCGTCAAGAAAGAAGCTGAAATCAGTGGCCACGGTGTGATATAAACCATTGCCTGCAGAGGGCTTCAGACCAGCAGTCACTAGCTGTGGGTTGAATTCAGTAAAAATGTATTAAGAGTCACCTATATGATTTAAAATTATCTAGTACACACACACATACACATGCACAGTCAAAAGGAACATGAGATTAATTTTAATAATATAATTTATTGAATATATTCAAATTGCTATCATTTCAACCTGTTATCAGACTGAAATTACAAATGTGATATTTTACATGGTTTTTTTTTATACTTAGTTTTAAAATATGGGTGTCTTTGGATTGGCCACATTTCAAATGCTCAGCACCTGCAAGTAGCTAGAAGCTGGCTGCCAAATTGAACAGTGTGTGGACTGCCCTCTCTTCAGCCTTCTTGCTTCCTCTTGAGCCTCCATGTTCTCTTCTGAAAAAGGAAATCTTTGGAATTGAAGGCTCCTTCCAGCTGTAGAGATCTGTAAAATTCTACAGTCCCACATCTTCAAAATTATCTGGTTGAATTTTACCCAGAGAGAGGCAAAGAAAGTCAGTCACTGAACCGCACAACACACATCTACTGAGTGCTTGCTTTGTGAAAAGCCATCTGTTAAACGTATCTTACAAGGATGACTAGAATAGGCTCCTACACTCTGAGCTGCGACAAAACAAAGGAGAAAAGACAGGCCAGAGTTGAGGCAGGTCCTGAGTCCACATCCTTGATGAGACATCAGTGAGAGCTTCCTGCCTGCAAATCGGAGTGGGTGAGGGTGCTGTTGACTGTATCCTCAGGCACTGGTTACTCAGCTGCTACTTAAGGACCTGAGATGGGCCCTATAATATTCCACCATCACACCATCATGACTGGACAGTTAAAGTGGTTTAAGGGTCCTGATGTCGACCCCAATCTGCCCACTTAAAAGTTTTTATATCCTGCTGTTAATTTTGCCTTTTGGAATGTAGTGGGGCACATACCGTAACTTCTTCTACCTGAGATTGTCTCACACATGAAAGGGCTTTGTATACTCATATATACTTTTCTCCAAACTGAATGCTTTCCATTCCTTCGACCTTTGTTCATGACTCCTTTCCCAGGCCCTTTGCCACAAGTTTGGAACACACACAGCACTCCTGAAATGTGGACATATTGAGTCTAAAGCAAAGTAATACATTCTCTTTACTGGGACAGTGGTGGTTTGACCTGGTTCGATTTTCAACCAACAAGCTTCATGTGCACCCTTTAAAGGAGGCTTGAGTAGTACTGTGACACTGAACAGTTTTCCATGGAGCTTCTAGACTAGACAGACTAGAACAAATGGTCTGGAGATCTACTCCTGAAAATCAGCTGATGAAAACCCTGTGGGTCACCATGGGTTGATCTATTACAATCACGGGTATGACAAAAGACTGGGCAGAGAGTTGTTGTGTTGTGCACATGGTCACCATAAGACGGGCCAAGTCGATGACAGCTCACAGCAGGACACAGCAGGGTGAGTCATATTTACTACCAACAGGACACCCTCGAATCACTGTGGTTTTAGATTAAGTCAGATGTTCATAACAGTCATACTGGGTTTTGGTTTTTGGCCCATTGCATTTTTGTCCACTTAAATCTACCAAATATTTTTCAAATGAAAAACTCCTGCCAACCCCTGCCAACCTGGTTTTTATACAGTTGAGCTTTTTTTAAACTTGATTGCTGAATTAAATTTTATCCCTGATAAATTTGCGCCCAGCTCGGTGTTCTAGGTTATAGAGACAGATTGAATTCTGATTCTGCCACCAACCACTGGAGCCTCCAACTGTTGTAACCTTTGCACTGTGTGGCTGTGTGCTTTCATCTATGTTCTGGGTTAAACTAAGGGACAGGGCAGAATCCTGGGAAATTCCACTGGAAAATGCCCTAGAGGTGGCACACTGCTGTGACTCCCCCGCCTTGGGGCCCTGGTGGCATAGAGATCACCAGTTATTGCCCACCAGCCGCTGTTCGGGAGAATGATGAGACCTTCTTTTCCTGTAAGGATTTAACCACCTGGGAACCCCACAGGGCTGCTCTACTCTGTCCTATAGGATCTTTATGAGTCGTTGTCATTGTCTTGATGGCATTTAGGGTTTGAGTTTTCAAGTCTGAAGACAGTTTGGAGTTCTTATAAATGGTCAACATGCTAAACAGAAGGTTTTAGATCCAAGCGCACTTGGAGGCATCTTGGAAGAAAGGCTTGGCGGTCCACTCCTGAAATAGCAGCTCTTGAAAACCTCATGGAGCGCAGTTCTGCCCGACACGTAGGGAGTGGCCATGAGATGCATCGAATTCCGCAGCTGCTGGTAGTCACAGCATCTACTATCCTGCTATTACCAAGCATCGATTTTAATATTTCAACCACCAACTACTTAGGTTATGGGATATATAACCTTACAGTGTAGTTAAAGCTGAATATACACGAATATATTCTAAAGCTGTCTAGATAAAGTCATGTAAGATGGGTTCTTTTCAATTTGTGATTTAAGCAGGAAAATTATTCTCAAATCCCCTGATGTTGAATTTTCCAGAGTGTGTTTCTAGGAACTTGGCTCCATTGAATGGTTTAAAAGGAGAAAGTGGTTTTTGATGACTTCTACTTGGAAAATCACATTGGAGCATTTTAACCCTTTAAAGCTTTGGAGAAGAACCGAGTGAAGAAACTTGTCTCACTTTACCCTTGAGATTTCCCTATTCAAACCATGGCAACATTTTTCGTTCCCGAACTTCTCACAGTGGCATGGGGGCACTGCCGGGACGTCTGCCCTGGTAGGGAGCAATATTTCCTCACTGACCTTACTGGCACAGGCTCTTCATAAAAAACAGAGCGGAGCCCAGGTTCTCGCCAGACAGCGCACCCTTTCATGGCATGCACTTGGGGCAGACTCTTCCCATTGCCTCGCCCCTTACACCCACATACATAGTGTTTTAGGGAAATGCTGCTAAAACACCGATGGTTTTTGCTCTGTGACAATCTTGATCGCCTAGATCCATCAAAAGGCATTTTGTTCAAAGTAGAAACCTGGGCTTATGTCACTGGTAACTGGGGCTACTTTTAGAAAATATAGTGCTGTCGGTTGCTGTGTGGACAATTTCAATTCCCGGGGACCTCATGTATCACATACAGTGTGGAACTGCTTCTTAGATTTTTATGGAAGCAGATCACCAGCCCTTTCTCCCGCAGTACTACCAGGTGGGTTCAAACTGCCAGCCTTGGTGTTAAGCAGTCGATTACAGACCACTTAAGTCATGACTTTCTTTCAAGGGGACATCTGCTCCCTGTTGGTCCCGAGTTGGCTGGAAAGTGGGATGGAGCAGGAATGCTCGTCTGTGATTTTGCTTGAGTGGATCCTCTGTCAGGAGATATAAAACAAAATTTTGGTGGCTAAGCCTCTACCCTCGTGAAATATGGTGCTGTGATCCACAGTCATGTAAGCTTGTTTTTTTTGTTTTACAAGAGATGCCTCCTTACTGATCAGCTCATTCAGCTGGGATGTAGCACTCATTAGTCCAAAAGGATGCTTCTTTATTTCAAAAGCTCAGCTTTAACCTCTAATCTCTGGCCAGGTTCTCCCAAACGTGAGCTGTTGAATCTCCAAGGGGCTTGATGACAATGTGTGGATCAGGGACGGAAAACTCGGGTGCCCCATCGGGCCGGGCAGGTGGTTGGAGGGGGCAGGCAGGCTACGGATTATGGAAACCAGGAGGAAATGCAGGCTCAGAGTTGCCCAGTTTCCCATTTTTCAAAAGACACCAGGAATGCAAAATCTATGCAAGAGATGAGAATTTCAATTCCTTACAAGTGTACAAGTAAATCATTGAAAGAAAAATAAAGACGGACAAAGAAAAGCTCTGAGGGAGCAAGGCACAACTCCTCTGTGGTTGGAAGCTGCCCGAGAGCTGCCGGGAAGGATGATCCCCGCTGTTGGAGAAATGCCCCATGGCCCCAACCACTCTCTGATAGATAACCCAACACACTTTGAAAAACAGCACATTTTGAAATATTCATCCGGGCTAGCATTTCTCTTCCCTGGGTGGTAAATGCTCTTAAGTCAACAATTCTCTAAGGCATGACCCATAGCAAGCGTTAATTGCAACATCTGAGGGTGGGCTCCAGGAATCTGCAGCTTAAAGCCTCTCAGGTAATTCTTTTTAATAATGAAGTAGGAAAGCCACAAGGTTCACCTGAGTAACAACTTGAGCTGAAAGAATCTAGTCGATTTAAGTGAAGGTCCTCTATGGGCCGACACAGTGTCCCTTATTCAGATCAGTGGGAAAATATCCATTCATTTTCTTGCAATGACAAGGACCAGTTCTGTACGCTTTCTTATATGCAAAGCACCTCTTCCCTATTTTTTTCAAAATCAACTTCGT